AATAAGTAAAGCACCACCCCATGATACACATGAATATATTATACTCAGTAGTTACTGAAGAGAAAGGAGATATATTGTTTCACAATTACATAAAACTATATTTTAAAAGAAAATACTCATAAACTAGACTATATTAAATTAAAATTCTATTCTTCAAATTTTATCATTAAAGCATGATGTGAGCAGTAGTGGGGACTCACATGGCCAAATATTTTTAACACAACAGAGAAAGACAGAGAACCCAGAGAGAAGTGGACAGAAAACTTCACAAAGGAGACAGATAAATAAATGTATGTGTGACATGAATATATTTTGCACATATACAGATTTTAAGAAGATTCATAAACATAAATCTGTTTTTTTTACAGAAAAACAACACATGCGTAGATAAAATTCACTACAAAGATGGACATTTCCTCCCCAAAACTGAGCTATACTATTACATCAAAATTTCAATGCTTAATATTTAGTGAAACCAACCAACAAAATTCTGATATTCACCTAGATGTATGGCTAATTGGCCAATAAATTCCTGAATTATAAGCACAGGAAGAGTAGTTATCATTAAAAACATATTATGAAAGTAATATAAGGTCCAAGGAATCACAATATAAAAAAAACCCAAGTATAAATCTTTATAGGTATTGTTAAGAGCAATAGGAACTTCTGCTATTCCTGACACTCATCAATAGGAACTTCTGCTATTCCTGACACTCATCAATGGCCGTTGAAAAGCCCAAGGAAGGAGTCAAGACTGAGAACAATGACCCTATTAATTTGAAGGTGGCAGGGCAGACGGTTCTGTGGTGCAGTTTAAGATTAAGAGGCATACACCACTTTAATGAAAACCTAATGTGAACAGGGTTTGTCAATGAGGCAGATCAGGTTCCGATTTGATGAGCAGTCAATCAATGAAACAGATGCACCTGCACGGAAGGAAATGGAGGATGAAGATACAATTGACATGTTCCAGAAGCAGACAGAGGTGTCTACTGAAAGGGAACCTGCTACTTTACTCCAGAATTTTGTTACAGGCCAAGAACCCAATCCTCAATTAGAAGGCCACAATTTGGTTCCACCACATCCTGACTACTACAGTACAGTTTTCTCTACTCTTTTATTTCCCTGTGCCTGTTCCTTTATCGTGCATGAAGTAACCAGTGTGTGCACAAGCATACTGCACTTTTTTTTTAATCTAAATGACCGTTGTTCTGTTTTGGTTGAAATCAAATGGAGATGGTACAACAACAAAACACCCAACAACACAGAAATCCTCACATTCCTTGTTGAACTGGAGAATTTTCATGCTTTTCATTTATTATTATAAGACCAAGGAAAATTATATAAATTTTTTGTTCGGAGCTGTTACACAAAGGGCACTCTGTCTTTAAGTAGGAGTGAATTACTCCTGAAAGAAAATGAATTCTAGTTTTCCCTTCAAGTCAGGCATCTTGTTTAAATCAACTTTTTTTAAGAAAAATAAAGAGCAACAGGAAAGACCAAATGTTAGGAAGCTAGTTAAGAAGTCATCAGGTGGGGGCTGGAAAGACAGTTCAGCACTGGCTGCTCTTACAGAGGACTGGGGTTTGAAACCCAGCACCTATATGGTGCTAACAACTGTCTGTAACTCCAGTTCCAGGGAATCCAATGCCCTCTTCTGACCTCTCCAGGCATTGCAAGACATTGGTGCACTTACCTACACGCAGGCAATACACTCATACACATAAATAAAATATTTTTAAGAAAAAAAAAAAAGAAATAATCAGGTATGGAGGTCACTGGGGATGGACTTCTGCAGCAGCAACAGTGTGCAGAACCAGAACTGAGAAACAACAGGGCTCTGAATACAGAAGAAAACAATGGGATCTGGGGCACATTTCTGGCCCTGGAAGGAGACATCAACTGCCGAGGTCACTAACAGATAATAAGCTAAACCTTGTAAGATTATTATCTAGCTGGAGGCTTTCTGATAAAGAAAAAGAACAAGGAAATATATTCTCCCACTAAGAATTGATCTAAATAAGCCTGTCAATCAACTACACAGAAAAACAACCCTGAGGAAAAAGTTGCCTCTTCTAGAGACTAAAAAATAATTTTTCTAAAATGCAGATGGGCATAATGGTCCTTTTGGCCAATATCTACTGTGTTGGTTATTGATTGCATAACTCTGACAAAGACTCTTAAAGATAGGAAAGATTTAGTTTAACTCACAGCATTGAGTACAATCTAGCCTGATAAGGAAGGAATAGTGGAAAAACCGACTGTACCTGCAGCAGCAAAGTGTGAGACAGTTGGCCATACTGTACCTGCAGCCAGGAGGCAAAAAGAAGAATCAAGTGCTTTCTTTCTCCTTTTCATTCAGTTTGGGACCCCAGGCCACACGCAAGGTGAATATTCCCTACTCAGTTAAACAATTTTGAAAACACTTAGGAAATACAAACATTCCCAGAGGTATATCTCCTAGGTGATTCCAAATCCAGTCATGCTGACAATGAAGAACAATAAACTGTCACATCTGTTCTCACTCCTTGAGCATGTGCTATACAGCAATGATCCTTTGGGCCACTACCCACTTTCATCCTTTCAATGGGCTCACCTGTGCTCTACAATAACAGACCCAGTTTTCCACACTCCTTAAATTCTTATCTAATTCAGAAGAATTCAGGGAGCCAAGGGGGGTCACATCAAGATCTCAGAGATACAACCATAGCAACAATGCCACTAAACTGTAAATAGATTAAACAACATAATTAGGGGCTGGAGAGATGGCTCAATGGTTAGGAGCACTGACTGGTCTTACAGAGGACTGGGGTTCAGTTCCCAGCATCCACATGGCAGCTAACAACTGTCTCTAACTCCAGCTCCTGGGGATACGATGCTCTCTTCTGGCCTTCACGGGCACTGCATGACATGGGTGCATGCAGGCAATACATTCATACACATAAAAATAGTAAATAGAAAAAAAAACCCGAAAAACAAAACCATAATTAAAAGGCAATTTTGGGACCTGGGAGAAAAAACAATCCTAAAGTTCACGCACAGAATGTTCAAGACCCTGGGTTCAATTTCCAGGACCTACAACAGGACAGGAAGCTCCTAACTCTTCCTCAAGCTGAATAAAGACCAACTCATGTTTCAAGTCCCTCTGAGAGAAAATCATAAATGAGCTAAGAGTTCTACACACTGGACAACTGAGAAAATATCCACATTAAATGTGTGGGAAAAGCTGAATCAAAATTTGAGCACAAATCCTATCTTAGGCAATGTGCTATACAACTGGAAAATAATTCTAAATCATTGCATTGAGGAGAAAAATTGGGAACACACATGAACTTAATAAAGTTCCCTGTGGTTTAGATCTTAATTTACCTAGCAAAGAAAGAAGAGGAAGCAGAGTGGTTTTATATGATCACTCAAGTTCTTCCACAGGCATCATTTCTTGGAATCAAAGCAAAGGATTTAAAACTCAAAGATTTGTTTCTCTCTGAAAGATATGTTCCTGCTGTCTGCCAACTGCTCTGTAACAGGGAGTCAACAGAGGTGAGGGGGAAGTAGACCTCTGGCAGTCTCTGTGGACACTCAGGACTTCCTGAGTTCCCCCCATACTAAGTCTGATCTATCAATTCCTCCTGGAAGGAGTCTGTCAGTGTACTGAGTGTCCCAAGTTTAAACATTTTCCATTCTAGCACATTTTAAATCTTCAACTCCCCCTGAATCACAGAAAAACTAATGATTTTAAACATGGGAGCAAACATGCCCATGAGCTCAACCACCCTCCACACCCAAAATTAAGAGAAGGAGCTAGAAAGCAGAGATTTACTCTTCCAGTAACTACTTGGTAGCCTAGGTTCATCCTAACAAATATGTACCAGGGACTCAATGCAGTAGTTAGACAGCAGACATCCTGAAGCCTGAGACTGCTGACAGAATTATTATCTAAAAGCTGGAAACAGCTGAAGTGCCTTTCAGATGAAGGGATACCAACAGATTCCTCCCACCCCTGGGGCAGCCAGTTGCTCCCCTGACAGGATCTATCTAGGAAGAATGGACCCAGATGCTGGTATGCACTGAACTCCCCTAGACATCAACGATGTGGCAGCTTGTGTCAGGTCCTAGTGCCAGGCAGCCCTGAGACCCAGAGCAAGGAAAGGAATGGTGAGACGAGGATAGACCTATCTCTATGTGGAATCTCCAAAGGGGAAGCTTAATCCAAAAACATTCTGACAGGATTCCAATGCCTAAGGAAGACAAAAAGAGGCAGTAACATTTTTGTTTGTTTCCACAGGAGTCAAAAGTGGGATTTTTAAATATGAAAAATTAAAAACAGAGTAAATGCTTTAAAATGTGCCATCCAGTATGTAGAGCAAAAAATGACAAAATACTATGTCATTTGAAATGTAATATAGGTTGGTTACCCAGCACAGCCAGATGGTAACACCCTATTGCTGAAGACACTACATATATGAGCTGTAGAACAAACAAGGAGAAATCAAGCTGGTGCTGATACCAGAGTCTCATCTCTACTGGCTTGTGCTCACAGTGCTGGAAGGTGCTATGCATGCTACTGGAAGTAAAAAGTAATCATCAAACTTATCCAGCAGTGAATCCTGTGAACAACAATAACAATTGGGCTGGCAAGATATGCCCACCGGTGCAATAGTGGCACAAATATTATGGGAGTAACTAACCACTCTTTAATTGGATTTAAAATCCACTTCCTAGGATGCAACCCACTGACATTGGTATCAGGCTTAGGAACTTGAGGCTAGACAGGTTACAGGACATAGGGGAGAACCTAATACTAATTTTCTACTAAATAGTTATTGTATTAAACTGACTCTTAATGACTTATTGTTATACTCATAGATTAATGCATCTCTCAACTCTCACCAGAGAAGTTTCCTTATGGAACAGATGGTGATTAACACAGAAACCCCCAACTGGCCAACACACAAAGAACAAAAGGTGGCAGAGTACTTATCCCTGAACAGGACACTTACATCCCACTTCTGCCTCCCAAGGCTCAGGAATCATTGTAGAAGTGGGCGCATAAAGACTGTTAAGAGCCAGACATAGTGGATGATCACATGGAAACGGTTTTTCAAACAGTTGGTCAGCTACTCCATGAACTCACAGCAATAGTGACAGCATGCACAAGCCCATGCAACCTCAAACAAGAAAAAAAAAATCTCAGCGAAGACACGAGGAAGTGGGCAAGAAGCTCTAACCCCATCTAAGAAAACTGTGGCAACTGGAGGGACAGAAACAGTCTCTTTCAAGCATGGGACTCTTGATAGATTAACAAGGCTCCAGTGGATGAACCCACACTGAAGGACATTTGGGGACACAAATTAGACTCCAAGGTGAAGATCAGGGAGTGGATCTAAGTATCAACTTATAAGAAAATCGCAAAAATTCAATTACATTTAAAAAAAAAAAAAAAAAAGAAAAAGAAACGTGGGGACTGGAGAGATGGCTCAGGGGTTAGGAACACTGGCTGCTCTTGCAGAGGACCTGGGTTCAGCTAGCAACTGTCAGTAACTCAAGTTCCAGGGGTTTTGATGCCCTCTCTTTTGGCCTCCACAGGCATTGCACGCATCTGGTGCACTTACATACATGTACATAAAATAGAAATTTAAAAATTAAAAAAAAAAAGAAATGTTAGCACGGAAAACGAATAGGAGATAATATTGGCAACAAGTAAAGCGGGTGTTTGGGAACGCAGTCAAGGATCTGGAAATTTAGAAATCTAGTGCCAGCCATAGGAGCAGTAACGCTGGGGAGAAAAGAGGTGTCCGGATTTGAAACTCCGCTTCCCATACATTTGGAACATTCAGGAGAAGGTCCTGAAGGCCTCACGGAACACAGCTGCTCTCACTGCAGGAAAACCACGCAGGGGGCTGGGATGCTCCCTTGACCATCCTCCACACCATCCGGGCTGCTTGGATTGCAGCTGGAGAGGGCTCCAGAGGGGCAGAAGTCGCTTCACAGACCAGAGAGGCCCCCTGTCCGACTCCCAGGCGTAGCCCCACCAGCACAAAGACCTGCAGCCCAGAGGCGGAGCAGGACTAGCCGCAGCCGCGGTAGGGAAGCACCTGCCGCAACGGAAGCTCAAGCCTGCGGACATCGGGAAGGCCCGACCTGCCGCAGCCGGTTCGCACCAGCTTCACAGCCTCCCTCCAGACTCCCGGCGTTGCGCACACTCACCATCTGACTGCCGTGGCGCCCGGCATCTTCCCTCATCCACCGGCCGCCTCGGCCGGTTCCCACCAGCTCCACACAGCCTCCCTCCAGGCTCATGGCGCCACGCACACTCACCATTCTCTCCTGACTTCTGCAGTGGCTGGCGGCCGCCCTGTGGATCGCCAGGCACGCAGATCAAGCGGCGACCGGATGCAGGAGGGCCACGCAAGCGTCCAAACCGGAAGAGATGGCGCCTGAAGAGGGTTCCCAGAGCCTGGACTAAGGAGACAATCGTCGAAAGCCCGCCCCCTCCGCCCTTTCTTTGTGTCTGATTGGAAGGTCTCACCATCGTGCTGCTGATTGGATAGACCTTCAAGTCCCTCCCCTTGAAGTCAGGCCCTGTTTGAGGACACCTACCTAAGGCTAAATGAAGCCCAAACCTGTTCTTAGTACAGCTGTTGTTAGTCCCTTAAGTGGGTATTTGCTTTTAACCTTGTACATAAGGTAATATCCGTTTATGAATCTTATGTATACATATTATCTGTAATAGGGGAAAATCATGGCAACTATTTTTAATTTTCCTGTAACGTTACTATGTTCTCCTGGAGATGGAAGAGTCTTGAAGGAAATCTGGTTTTATGAAGAGGTGGCCTAAATTTTAAAATGGGAAAGCAAGTTGCCTAAGCAGCAATGTCCAATATAAAAGAAAAGAGTAACACACAAATGTAATTTTAAATTAAAAAAAATTAAAGCAGGTGATATTGATTGTAATAAAAACCTAGTATGTCTGAAACGTTACTGAAACTTATATACACACACACTCTGGTAACTAAATCTTTACTAAGTCTGCAGCAGAGCTCAGTTCAGGTCTGCCATGTTCCTCCTTTGAGAGCTGTGACTTTCCTGATCTCAGGAAGGTGAAGAGCCTCAGAATCTCTCTCATTTTTGACAGAGGTGAAGAAATACAGTTCCCTGCCAATACTTCAAACCCAGTGAAGGAGAGGAACAGTGTCCTAAAAGAGTGCAGGGAGCTCCAGCCAGGAAATGTCCAAAGGTAAGCCAATGCTTCTAGTGCTGCTGAGCATAAGCCCATCTTTCTCCCAGAGAAAAGCAAAGAAAGTGCTCCAGGAAAAGAGAAGCTCATGTCTCCAAATCAATCTATGGCTTTTCCCTCTGGAATTTAAACAGATTAAAGGTTAAATTCCTATTTTACAATTTGGCCTTGGACCTAATTGTCAGTCTGTGGATGTCTTATTTTCTCTTGTGAGGTAGAGTTCTGGGAAAGTTTAAGAACCCAATTATATGCAAATACATCTGCACAAATTTCTGTATAACACCATCTAGCAAGAGATCCAACTTAAATTAATAAACAAAATGTGTGCATAGCAGCTACCATTTGACAAGTAATTTACGATCAAAATATTGAGCCATGGTATCATACCTATAAGGATGTGTTACTTATCTATCACTGGGTAACAAACCACTCCAGTATTTATTAGTTGGATATTGGCCTGTTCAGTGGTTGAGGCTCATCTGGAATACTTCTGGTGCATCTGGTAAGCTGATAGCTGACAGCTCAGAGGGTCAGCTGGCTCAGAGGGTCAACTGAGAGGTCTTTACTCTCTCCTGCTGTCACAACTTATCTTGCAACAAGCTATTGTGAATGTGTTCTCCTGGAGATGGAAGAGTCTTGAAGGAAACCTGGAAATCATTTGAGATCTTTTCAGCCCAGGTATCAAACTAATACACTTTCATAGTCAGAGCTTAATGTGAGCCATGACAAGAGACCAATCTAGATGCAAGTTACAAAACCAGATACTATCTCATGATGGGAGCAGCAGAAAAGACATGGATACAGGAAAGGATGAAGAAATGCTGACACTTTCACATTTACTGTCATTATGCCTTTTGTTGATAAAGTTCATAAAACTGTTCCAAATGAAAGAAGATATCCAAATAAAGCTATAATTCCACAGCTGATGTCCAATGCCCAAGTGTATACTCTAGAACACATGATTCACTCAACTTCTATGATCCTTTAGATTTTGGATAGTGACACTCAAAACAGGACAATTTGTGTTCATCTAATAGTCACCATTGTTGAAAATGATCTTGACAGAATACTTCTAAAGCTTCTGCAAAGGACACAGAATATTTGGGGGAGATTTAGGGGGACTAAACTTAGGAAATCAAGGACCAACCATGTATTTTTCAATTCTTATTATAGGAAAAAATTGAGGACATGTATAATGTGCCCCACAGGCATGAAAATTCGTTTTCTGAAAATTACTTTTATCCTTTTTGGCATTTGTAGACTATTTTTGGTTTCCAGCACAATCAGAATGAAATGCCTGAAAAATCCTTACTATGAAAGTGACATAAAGCCACATGGAGTGTCTATTGAGAATACATTTCCTACTGTTGTAATTTAGCCAACTGGCTGACTATGTCTAGAAGCTATGGTTTGACTTTACCTACATAAAACTATTTTCTAAGACCCCGAAGTGAGATGCTTCTAATGGAGCAAATCCCCATAGCCAACACAGAAATCACGCATAGCTAATGCATCCCAAACACTTAACCAGTGGTTCCACCCCTTTGGCTGCATGTTAGACTCTCCCATGAGGGTCTTTAAATCTTCTGAATTCAAGTTCAATATGACTATTAAATTCAGAATTTCTGTATGGGAACATGGTGTAGATATCATTGGAAGCTCTCCAGGTGAATATACTGTGAAGCCAGGCACAGAAACCATTGCTTTATAACAATATTTTTTTTGTGGCTACAAGTGGTTTTATGAATGACTATAAAGATATCTGATGTTGAGTTATGGCCTTTCAGTCTTATCCACTGTGGTGGTTTGAATGAGAATGTCCCCCACTGGCTCCAAGCAATTGACTATTTTTCCCCACTTGGTGGCGCTGTTTAGGCACGTTTTAGAAAGTATGGCCATGCTGGAGGAAGCATGTCACTTGGGGTGGGCTTAGAGAGTTCTTAAGCCTTGTCAGATCTCCAGTGGAGCTCTGCTTCCTGTGCCTGCTTGAAGATGTGAAACACTGCTTCCTGCTCCTGTTCCAACTGTCTCTGCCGCCATGCCTCCCCACCATGATGGACTCTTGCCACTTTGGAACCCTACATTAAATAAACTCTTCCTTCTATAAGTTCCCTTGGTTACAGTGTTTTATCACAGCAACAGAAAAATACATCCACATTGTCTTCTTAGGAATCTTTCCTGAGCTCAGCTTTTCTTATTTACTTTATTCTCTACTGAAGCAGGTTCCACAAGTGGCCTCTTGTCTACAGGCACTGTGGTAGGTGTCCTGGCCTTTTTAGCAGTACTGTGATGGGCACTATGCTGGACAAATATTTGCATCATAGAAAACTAAAACCATGCCACTTAACTGAGGTTTAAGATTGACAGACAAAAAGGGTCACCTAAGTCTTGGGACACAATCCCTTAAGGTGTTAAAATCAATCTGATGTGGACATGAATGAAAATGGTTTTGTTTATTTGGTTTTTGTTTTGTTTTGTTTTTTGAGATAGGGTCTCAATATGTAGCACTGGCTGACCTAGAACCCACTATGGAGACCAGGTTGTCTGTGGTGGTTTGAATGAAAATGTCCCCCATAGGCTCCAAGTGTTTGGACATTTTGTCCCCAGCTGGTGGCACTGTTTTGGGAGGTTTTAGAATGTGTGGCTATCCTGGAGGAAGCATGTCACTGGGATTGGGCTTAGAGAATTCTTAAGCCTTGCCAGATCTCCAGTTGCTCTCTTGTTTCCTGTGCCTGCTGGAAGATGTAGAGCTTGGAGGTCAGAAGAGGGCTTCAGATTCCCCTGTAACTGGAGTTAAAGGTAGTTTGTAGCCACCATATGGGTGCTGGGAATCGAACTTGGGTCCTCTGCAAGAGCAGTCAGTGCTCTTAACTGCTGAGCCATCTCTCCAGCCCCTGAGAGTTCTTAAGCCTTGCCAGATCTCCAGTTGCTCTCTTGCTTCCTGTGCCTGTGTGATGATGTGAGAGCTTAGCTTCTGCTGCTCCTGCTCCAGCCACCTCCAGCCACCATGCCTCCCTACCATGACAGACTATAATTCCCCTGGAACCGTAAGCTCAAATAAACTCTTCCTTCTATAAATTGCTTGGGTCAGTATTTCTATCACAGCAACAGAAAAGTGACTAATATACTTTCCTAAAAGTCATAGAAATCTGCCTGCTTCTGCCTCCCAAATGCTGGGATTAAAGTCATGTACCACCACAACCAGCTTGAACTTGTCCCCTTTTAAAGCAAAACAAAGGTATGCCACTCTTCTGAAATAGTAGGTTAAAATTTTTGTTCAAATATTTAATAAATGAATTTTTATTGGTGTATAACATGCATATATGACATGTATATAATATTGTTATATAACATGCATGTACTAAGTATTACAAAATGAACATAATTACTTAACAAAAAAATGTTGTCAGTTTTTCTCAAGCCCTCCAGATCGCCCCCTCCTACCCATCTTCTAGAAATAATTGAGATCTTAGGAGCTAACAATTTGGATTTATTTTGTCTTTTTCTACAAGTATTTAATAATGAAAAATTGAAATATTCATCTATAGAATAAACAGAAAAGTACACTAGATGAGTCATTCAGCTTCCATAATCCAATGATGAAGTTCCCGTTTTTTGATTAACACTCTGGAAGCTCCCTGGGGAGTCTTTGATTTAAGTCAGTCTGTTTTGAAAGGCTGACTAGATTGAATCTGAAGACTGTGGGAAACAGCAACAGTAATGTAAACACTTCTGAAAGAATTGCACTTGCACATGCTGGCCTTTTTCATTTTTCTATTTTTATTCTATCAAGGCCACCAGCCTATTGGATACTGCTAGCCACATTCATGACATGTTTTTTTTTTCCATCATATAACTCAATAATCTCTGGAAATGCCCTAACCAATATATCCAGAAATATGATTTCTTAATCTCCTAGGCATTGGTCAATGCAATAAAATTAGCAATCAAGATCAACCATTACCCATTCTCATTCAAAGATGGAGGAATCGGGGCTTAGAGAAAAAAGATTTTACTTTTGTCCCAGAACAGCAAGCACTAAGTCTTATAGCTCCGTATCTGGCATTTAAGGTACATGGTGATATCATGGTCCAAAGGCTTCTGGTAGTGGGTAAAAATCAACACAGCATGTCATCCAGGATGTTTTATGTGTGGTCATGGATAAGTTTAGCCAGATGCACAGTAAAAATTCTGA